CTTCGAACAAACACCAGCTAGTAAATTTATAATTGTTGCGCGTTAGGTCCGGATGGTGCACTAAAGGACACAAGATTTATATTGGTTCGGGCTGAATGTCCATACGTCTATTCTGCTGCTGCTCGTGTTATTAGTACCAAAAAGGGTTCGTAGTAGGGGGTACAAACGGTCGAGAGAGGGATGGGCCCCAAGTCTCTGATGGAATGGTCGAAAGGTCACCGAGAGCTTAGTCGCTGCTCAGCCGTGTGTGATGTGTGTTGTCGAATCGTATCGATCGATCTCTCTGTGAGTTGATCCGTCCTATTAGCGGGGTGCCCGACCTTCCCTTTTATAGGCCAAGGGAAGACAGAGGTTACATTTCGAAGAAAGGGGAAAACCAGAGGCCAAGAAGCCCTTTCGAAGGCGCTGGGTCTTCCTTTTCCTCTGAGCCAGCTACGCTGACACGACCAGACGGTGTCAGGGATTGGCACGTTCGCCGGGCGCCTGTGTGCTGACGACACCAGACCCTTACTTGATCAGCAAGTGGTCACGTCCCGTCCCGCCCCCGGGCGGCGTGTTGGACAGGGGTGTTGACCTGTAGCCCTGTGGGGAGTGGATGGCGCGGTGACTGCACGTTCGTCACCGTAGAGGACACAAGTCTCTTCTTGGACCGTAGTGGTTGTCGTATGTTTATGTCAGGTTCCGCGCCCGAGGGCTGAAGGCGGCACCTACAACACTGTAGGGCGAAAGCCGGCGCCTACAACACTATTCGGACTCTGCCATGCCTGGAAAGGTCTAAAGCGCCCGTCCCGTCGTACCCTGACGGTACTTTCCCGTAGCGGTGCAGGGCATGGTCCTTGGTACTGCGTTTGACTCGAATGTCATGTCGTACCCTGTGCTCGTCATTATGAAGGAGCATGGTGCAGTCGTCGGGAGAGACGGAGTCTGCCCTCGGCCGTAGGGAGAGGCAGAGCCTGCCCTCAGCCGTCGGGCGAGGCGGGGCCTGCCCTCGGTGGTCGGGCGAGGCGCAGCCAGCCCTCGGACATCGGGCGAGGCGAAGCCAGCCCTTAGCCGTCGGGCGTGGCGGAGCCTAGCCCTCGGAGGTCGGGCGAGGCGGAGCCAGCCCTTAGCCGTCGGACGAGGCGGAGCCTAGCCCTCGGAGGTCGGGCGAGACGGAACCAATCTTCTGTTGTTCGGACAAGAAGCGCAATAGCGTTCTCGTCTGACCGGAAGTGTCAACGTTCGATGATCATTAGTTCCACCTCATTAGGTACCCCAGCATTAAGTCCCCGACAGGCCTTGATTTGGGTGCTTCTGCTAAAGTTGCTCTAAGAGAGCAGTGTAGTCTTACTAAATTTATGTTGTGTTTTTTTCCGCCCCAACAGCTCCCCATGTCATGTGAAGTCGTGGCTAGCACAAAGGATACATAAGGTTGTTAAAACTGATTGTCTTTTTTTTTATGGGATTAAAACTGATTGTCAGAGGACTAAAATTTAGTTCTATACTATTTGGTACACAGACCATTAGTTAATATATCAATCTGATTTACCTCTCTTTGCTCAACTAGTAAACTAGTGTTAGTTGGAGTGTCGACTAAAATTCTACTCGAATACTAGGGCCTGATCGGCTGATAGATAAGCCGTCTGAAGCTGATTTATTATAAGAGAAAAATATTGTACTAGCTGATAAATTGATTGATAAGTTCAAACGAACATGGCTTAGTTGATACGTTCTTTTTAAACGAATCGTAGTACAGCCAGCTGCGTACGGAGTATATCCGAGGTCAACGTCCGAGAGGCTGGGGAATGGACAATGGAGATTGAAACGCGTGCCAACCACGCAGTCACGCAGCAGGGAAGGGATCCATTCTCTTTTTTTTTTGGCAGCAGTAGTAACTGCAAAAAAATAAAAGAAAGAGTAACTGCAAAAATTGAAAATTGCAACTACAGTACAAGTAGTAGTATAAGGCCAGTGATTTACATTAATTAAGTTGCCACGTAAGTATTTTGGATGACATGACAATGCATTTAAGAAGAGAGAGAACAAATGAGTTTCATCTAGATGGAACTCTCTTGGCACGATTAACAACTCTCTATGAGTCTTGAAATTAAATGCCTATAAAACGATAGAATGAAACTCTCCATTAAAAATAAATGTTTTATCTAAGCTTCATTTCATTTTACATAACATGACAGTATTGAAAACAACCTAACGAAACTCTTAGGCCCCGTTTAGTTCCAAGCCAAAAACCAAAAAATTTTAAGATTCTCGTCACATCAAATCTTGTGACACATGCATGGAGTACTAAATGTAGACGAAAAAAAAAACTAATTACACAGTTAGCCGAGAAATCGTGAGACGAATCTTTTAAGCCTAAATAGTCCATAATTGGACAATTTTTGCCAAATAAAAACGAAAGTGCTACAGTAGCCAAAAGCCAAAAATTTTCAGAACTAAACGGGGCCTTAGTTGAGACTGGCATAACTGGTCGTATATGCGGGAGGTAAGCTATGACGACTTGACGAGTACGGAGCATCTATCCATGTCGAGGCGCAGCCGTGTACGTACTACACACGTCCTAGGAGGCAGCCGTGTACTCATTCCACCCTCTCAGCTCCTGCTTCTATTGGTCGTCGCAGTCGCAGCTTTTGTTGGGCTGCGTTTGTCCATGGATCCGTCATCCTTGTGCGTTTACACTTCTACGCACGGTGACTCGCTGTGGAAGCAAGCTACGCAGCCAGCCACTAGTAGTAGTAGTAGTAGTGGTAGGACGAAAAGCAAAGCAAACGAGACGACGGGAGGCGGTCGTCGTTGGCGCTGCCCTTGTCAGCAGGGTGAGGGTGAGGGTGAGGCGCAGCACGCAGCTGCTGGTCCTGCTCGCGCCTCCACCGGCTACGACCACCTCCTGTACGGTGCGGCTCACCAACGGCTGCCTTGCCCTGCACCACCGACACCGGCCCACCCGTCTGATGGCATCCAACGCACGGCGAGCAGGATCAGAAAGCGGACCCCCACCAGCCACGTGGACCGCTCCGCCGGCCGCCGGCCGCCGGCACATGCAAATTCCAGGGACAGGGGCACGAATGCAATTACGGGAAAAAACCGGGGGTGTTGGGGGCTTCCTCCAAGTAAGCGTGGCTTCAAACGCGGAAAAGCGAGGGAGGGCCCACCGAACCCACCCAGGAAGCGGGAAGTACTACTGCTTCCATTCCACCGTCTCTCTCTCTCTGTCGGTCCTCGTCCCCCATCCTCCGCCGCTTTAAATCCAAGACCGCGCGGCTCTCCGCCCACTCCATCCCGACTCCGTCGCCTCGCCTGCCTTGCCTTCTAGGGTTTCCTTCCCCGTCGGCGCCTCCTCCCCCTCCCCAGATTTGGATCTAAGCCGCTGCCGCCGCCGCCGCCGACCCAGGTGTGTATGTACCACGTCTTCCCTCCTCCCTGCTGCTGCCGCGTCGTAGATCGATCCCCCGTGTCATTCCGCTTCGCCTCTCCGCTCCCGCTTGGTGGGTGTGGCCGTGTGGGGAACTGGGGATGCGATGGGATGGGATGCTCTGCCCGCGCACGCCGTTGTTTCGGGTTCAGAACGGCCTGCTTTTCATTTGGATTCGTTCATTCATTCGTTCATCTCCTTCTTCTCGCCAGCAACCGCGCGAGGGTTCCACTCCCTTTTCGCTCCAAATGCGTTGTCGGCCAATATGCTGCTCAGTTTTTTTTCGGGGATTTCCCTCCCAAACTCAAACGACCTTGTTCGTGCATCTCTCACCCTCACCTCCAAATTTTTTTTTCAAAAAAAAAAAAAAACATGACATAACAAAAGTCATTCAGATCGCGTGCCTGTGCATCAACGACAGGTTCTGATGGCTCTTCCTAAGCTAGACAATCGAGCTCGCCGCTCTGATTACTTGCCGTGTCCTGAAGCCATGTCCACAATACGCGTATGCGATTCAAGCCCTGTTTAACGCCTGCCAGCCTGCCCTGCCACCGATTTCCTCCATCCATTCATACCATAAGCGTACTACTCCCACCCTTGATTTAATTTAGTTTTAGTTTCCGCAATTTTCCACGCCATGTACGGAACTTTGCAGCTCCGTATCTCGACTTGACCAAACCCTCAACCAGGCGACTTGTTCGTTACACGGCTACTCCTCTGCAATAGGCGCCATTAGTCCTCTGCAATTAAAACCATTAGTCCTCTGCAATAGGCAAATCGCCTCCGCGCGCCATCTCTCTGCAGCTGCACCTGCACCTGCATGTATTAATAGACTGCGGTGTACACGCCAGGCACTTTACCCCGGCGCTACGTCACAGCTCATTCGTTCTATCGCTAGTCCAGATATCGCATCGTGTATAATAATGGCTCTGTTTCTCCGTGCTGCCGTGGCATATATAACGTTTCTGGTGCTGCATGTATTACAGGCTCCCTTGTTAGCTATCATCATGCTTTTCAGTTTGCTACCAGATCGTTTGTGCATGATCAATGTTGATCATGCTTTACGCCTGCTCCTGCGATACTTAATATGCAAAAGAAAGAAAAAACTTGTTGTATATTGCATATAATATCTAAGGCGTCACAGAAGTGTTGAGCATGATGAGTTGTCTGTCTATGCGCCTTTATCGTAGTTATTAATTAAACCAGACAAGATAGGTAGTGGCATCTGTGCTGACGAAAGTAACCTGGTAACCCAGTAATCTTCATTTCCCCTGCCTTCTTTCTCAAAACTATTACCTTCCATTTAGTTTCATGATTGCTCCTGATCCGTGAAGGCTGTGGCCCCTCCTCCTATTAGGTAGCCTAACAATGTCGTTTTCGTTTGGGATATTTATAACAAAGGAACACAGATCAAAGCTTCCGAGTGTAGTCAGTGTTGGACCATGTCTTCAGTATGGACCGTGTTACCACGCGCGGTCAATGTTGGACTCTGTCATGAGTGTACAATGTTTTGCTCTTCCTTCTCCTGGAAGACCAAATCAAATCAACTTAACGGGAGGCCTTGTATTGTAATCCTTGGCAGGTTGTCTTGATGGCGCCCGGTGTGGAAGCCGTGAAGGAGACAGGCTCGTTCCAAAAGGTTCCTGCCTTGAACGAAAGGATACTGTCATCCATGTCCAGGAGATCTGTTGCTGCACACCCTTGGCATGATCTGGAGATAGGTATTGTACACACCTGTCTTGACAAATGGCCAGCCATCGATTTGTGCTATTTGCAATCAGAACTTAAGTTCTTCATCTTGAATTCATGCAGGTCCTGGCGCTCCAACCATATTCAACTGCGTAAGGCCACCTTATCATGCTTCAACTGATTGACCTGTCTTGTTACTTGAGATCATTATATAATTCTTGCGATATGTTCATGTTAATTGCATAGTGCATTTTCTTTTCTCGGATAAAAAGAAACTCTCCCTGGACTTTCAAACAAATTCCTATGAACTGTCTGCGTCATCCATATTCCTGTGCCACCTGGCACTTTCTGATGCATGCTCAAATGTTTAAGAAAGACTCATAGAAGTGACTCCTACTCCTATGTCAGGTCATTGAGATACCCAGGGGCAGCAAGGTTAAATATGAACTTGACAAGAAAACTGGACTGATCAAGGTAAAGCAATGCTGATTATCCAAGAGTCTTGTTGCAAAGCTATATTTCTTGCCAGTCCTAATATTTCCTGTTTTCCATTTCAACGTGCAGGTGGACCGTGTCCTGTATTCATCAGTTGTTTACCCTCACAACTATGGATTCATTCCTCGCACACTTTGTGAAGACAGTGATCCTTTGGATGTACTGGTTATAATGCAGGTGTGCTTCTTCTTTTTTATGTCATTGAATCACAAAATGGTTTATCGGTTATGGTCTGAGCAGTCTTAGGTATAAGTTGAGCTAATTTTCAACTCTCGACATTTTCCATTTCTGCATATGGTTGAGAACATGTCTATAAACTGTTACTTCCATGCATGCAGGAGCCAGTCATTTTCCATTTCTGCCTATAGTTGAGAACAACATGTCCATAAACTGTTACCTCTGTGCATGCAGGAGCCAGTTATCCCAGGCTGTTTTCTACGTGCAAAGGCCATCGGCGTTATGCCCATGATTGATCAAGGAGAGGCCGACGACAAGATCATTGCAGTGTGCGCTGATGATCCTGAGTACAAGCATTACAACGATATCAAGGACCTCCCACCTCACCGCTTGGCTGAAATCAGGCGCTTCTTTGAGGACTGTATCCTTTTATAATTCATCAGTACTTAGTCCTGCTAGCCTAGAGTCTAGTACTACATAAAGTGATTAATGTTTTCCTCATGCTTAATAGATTCTTCTAACTTGTCTACAAGATACTACTTTGCAAAGTTCCCTAAACTTGACCTGATCATTACAGCGTCTGCCAATTTTAGAAGAAAAAAATACTGGTCATGTGTTAACTATCTTAAGACGATGCAAAATGTTACAATGTTTGCCTCCTGTTAGATTGAATGGTTTCTTTAACCCGGACATTCATCAGACAAGAAGAATGAGAACAAGGAGGTTGCTGTGAACGACTTTCTGCCTGCAACTGAAGCTTATGAAGTCATACAGCACTCCATGTAAGTTGACTGATTGCAACTCTTCAGTCCTGATCATCAACAGAGCAGTCATTTGTTTTAAGACATGTCTTCCTTTCGACCTTCAAGCTAACCACCCAACATTGTAATGTTCTTACACAGGGATCTGTATGCTACCTACATCGTTGAGGGCCTGAGGAGGTAGGCTGCTGGTGGCCGGGAAGGCGAAGGATGTTGACGAAAAACTGGGAGACCGTTTACCACATGAACGAGTATTGTTATTTTGTATGTGTCGTGTATACTGCTAGTAGTAAACCCTCAATCAAAAGCCGAAATCCCCTGGGGAGTCGGTTGTAGCTGAAGCTAGTAACACAAGGTTGGCTAAATATTCTTTTCTGGCCTGAGTGCCAATGTATGTTTGACATGTTGTACTTCACTGATATCGTAATATTCATTCGGTTTTTGTGATATATAATTTATCATTGGTAATTGAATTTGTTCTCTTGTAGCATTTGAAATACGGTGGCAATGTGCCTCTGTACAAAGTTGCAAAGGCGTGAACGTTTTTGTTTATTACTCTGTTATTTTGGAAAACAAACAGGGCCTGAAAGTGACGAAATCGAGCAGATTACACAGAACTAGTCTTTCTACAGTCTGTCTTGGAACCTTTGGTCGAATTTTGTTCACAGTTCCACCAACAGCAAATTGGTTGCATTCCCTCAACTCAATCAACTAGACACAGGAGCACCAATCCCCCATCTGAATTTAATTGTATATAAGTGGAATAATTCAACTCCGCTACAAATCCACTTGTTGAAAACTACGAAAATTTGTCAGGAATGGACATCCACTCCAAACTCGGTTTCAATGTCCCGCTTCCCATTTCAGCCACACCAACGGGATCACGGCAAACATCAAGTTTTAAAATAAAAACAGCATGAATTTCATTTGAAGCAATAGAACCCCGGTCTGAATGTACCTGTCGACCTACCATTCTCGTCAGGAATGTACTTAACCACTCTTCTGAAAACCATCCATCGACACTTCGTTTGTCATGCTACTAACCATCACAGGTGAATGCATACCCTACCATGATAGGATGGAGCCAATTTGGAATCAGAGACAAAATTGGGGGGAAAATAGATTCACAAGTTGATCGATGCAAACCAAAGACAGACGCATGCAATCCATCAAAGAAAGCAAGGCACTTACTCTTGTTCTCATTAAATCTTAGGTAACATGGAGATCCCATCACCAACCACCACTAGAACTAGACTTAGATCGACCGAGGCACACGACACATGAGGCGATGCATCACTACATACACACAGAAACGCAAGAACAGCAAAAGGCATCCACAACCACTCAGTCAAGCTGAGATCAGGATCAGATGGGACGAGACGGGGCACTACTACTTCTTGGGCGACTTGGCGGCGGCGGCCTTCTTGGGCGACTTGGTAGCGGAGGCGGCCTTCTCGGCCCTCTCGGCGGCCTTCTTGGGGAGGAGGACGGAGTGGATGTTGGGCAGCACGCCGCCGTGCGCGATGGTGACGCCCGCCAGCAGCTTGCCGAGCTCCTCGTCGTTGCGGATGGCGAGGAGGACGTGGCGCGGGATGATGCGGTTCTTCTTGTTGTCCCGCGCCGCGTTGCCTGCCAGCTCCAGGACCTCGGCGGCGAGGTACTCGAGGACGGCGGCGAGGTAGACGGGCGCGCCCGTGCCCACGCGCTGCGCGTACCGCCCTTTCTTCAGGTACCGCCCGATGCGGCTCACGGGGAACTGCAGCCCGGCCTTGACGGACCGCGACACCGGCTTCTTCTTCGGCCCGCCGCCGCCCAGCTTCCGCCCGCCGCCGCCTTCTTCACCTTCGCGCCGCCGCCGTCCATCTCGCGAGTCGCGGGTGTTGAGAGGGAAACGGGATTTGGAGGAAGTGATGATTTGGGTTTGGAGGAAGCGGGGATTTATTTTTGATGGATTTTGGAGTGGTTTCGGCGCGGCTTTTATAGCGGCGGTGATGGGATGGGGAGCCGATCCGTGTGACGTGGGCTGAGCGCCGTTGGATTTGCGGGGAAGCGGACCGCTGCGATTTGTTTCGGAGGACGCGATCCGTGGGAGGGGGCGGCGGGCCAATCAGGAGCGAGAGATTCACAGGTGTGTTTGAGTGGTTCGTTGGGCCGGTGGGTGGCGTGAGGCCCGTGGGAATGGTCGATGCGGTGCGCCTCCGTCGAGGTCGCACTTCTGCCATTTGGCGCATCATCAAGCACGGCAAAACGCTGAGATTTGAATTTTTATTTATGTATTTTGTATATTTTTCTATTTCAAAATAAGTTATTTTTCTTGTATGTTGTATGGCATTTCTTTCCTTTTTTTTGAGGGGACCATCGAACAAATTCTTGCTGTCTCTCAAATCGAGCAGATTTATGAATGTGTATTCAAATTCTAACTATCTGTTATGTATGCTCGTGTTCCATTTCTAAATCTATGGGTGATCCAGGATTCTCATCGCCCTACGTTGTTAGAGCGTGGTGATCACCCAAGCCAAGCTTAGGTGAAATCGAAGGTTTGGCAAAAGATAGGATGGGCGTTTCCCAGAAAGCGCATTTACTCTAACATTGCAAAGACTGCGTAAGAGTGAAACTAGAACTACAGAATGGTTAGATGTAATTGGTTTCATGATGTAACATGTACTTTACTTTTACTTTAGAATCATAATCATTACGGTAAAGCTTTTGTGTGCAAATATGATGTATGATTTTCCAAGCTATGTGATTCTTGATGGTTGGTTCGTACCGTGTAACCAAACAACTTGGTTTTGAGGTACAACCCCCGCAACCGCGAGTGGAGGCCGTGGATGGCGACTCCACGGACCTCCCTACAACCCTGGAGTTAGTGCTACGCCAGTCGAGAGGACGATATGTGGTACTAGCTTGGTGGGGCCGGGGTGAAGTCCTTGCAACGGTTGACACTAAACACCACCATGCAAGCCCTTCTGCATAATTCTAGTAGCAAATTTAATTACTACAACTAAACCACACAAGCTACTAAAGGCTAGCAACTATAACTAGTGAGCTACACTAAAACTAGCAACTAAGCTAAACTACTCACTAGAGAGCTACAACTACACAAGCTACTTCACAAACAGAGTAATGAATGTAAGTGCGAGTGCAATAGAAGGCAAACAACAAGGCCAAGCGACACAACAATTTATTCCAATGTTCGGTTGCTTGCTGGCAACTTAATTCCCGTTGTGGCGGATCCTATTAGACAACCATTTTGCTAGCCTCGCGATCACGGAAAATGACTTCAATGTGACTGATAGGTGAATTCTAGAGGAGTAGGGGCTCTAATTTGAGGGCTATTGTTGGAGTTGAGCCTAGAAAAAGGGCTCTCAAAAGTGAGGGAAGCCCTTAAATCTAAAGTAGGGGCCTTAATTTGAGGGTATTTGCTGGAGGTGTTCTTAGCAAAACTGTAGTGCACATTTAGATAGAAATCTTGCATATGTTTTGATAAGTAGACACATAGTCCAAGTTGTTTTTAGAAAGCATAATTCACCCCCTCTCAGGCGTCACTATCCCTTGACTTACGTTGTGGACAACAATTTACATTGAACCATAGCAACAATCGGCAGCGGCGCTGTAGTTAGAGGAAGTAATTAAGCAGTGTTGTGATGCATAAGGTGAAGGAGGAAGGGCAAGGCAGAGGTGACGGAGGAATAGGGCAGGTTTGCGCATTACCGAACAAGAACTTCGTAAGCAGGTGGCGGCGAACAAGGTGATGACGGATTAGTCCTTTTTTGAGTTGAACAAAAAAACCTACTAAGTTATATTCGATGATCCGCATTTAGTGGCTCGTCCTAAATTCATACATATCCAAACAAGACGTGTTAGTAGTCAAACTGATTCGTTTGAGCAAGGTCTAAGCCACCACAATCTCCGGTCATCCATATGCCTTATGATTCAAAAGGTCAATTTTTCTTCTCACTTGGGTCCGCCTAATCAACACTTTAATTTTATACTTTAAAAACCCTAGGGTATTACACCCTATGAACACACCTAGCTACAAGTGTGCACCTTAGTCGTACACAAGTCTTATACCTTTGTGAGCCTTGAAACCTATCTAGCCTTTAGCATCGGTTGAACCTAATCTAGAACCATGGTTATCTCTTTCCTTCTCACTCTCATAAGCACTTTATCTTTTAAGACCTCCCCGCCTACGGGTCTATCCTTGAACCATAAGTACCTTAGTCCACCTTATCTCTCTAACCAATATTTACACCCACTCATATCGCTCTATGCATGAACAAATAGAGATGGTTTACTAGTTCTAGTCTTATACATGCCCCCCTATACTCAATTCTTGGCTCCGCCTCTGCATAGTGGCATGGGTGTGATAATTTTTAGCATCGGCTACGTTGTGGGATTGTGGCCACTGTACTCGTCCCTCGAAAATGATACATTTATAGGGCTAAAAATTAATAACCACTTGCAGTTCATAAGCTACAGTGCTGTCCTGTCTTGCTAGATGTAGTTTGATATATAAAAATCATATATTTGTGAATTAATTAATTGATGTATGATGTTACCTAGAACTTGCAAAGTAACCCTTTTTTGGTCTTTTTTTATCTTCTAGAAAAAATATCATTCATTAATGAATTATTATTAGGATTGTTATACTTGTATACAGTATACTTGCAGCTTGTTGCCTGGTCTTGTACTCTTGTTTGGCCACCATCCGACGGTGGGAGGGAGCAGCTATGGTCTGACCAGGGTGGCGCCCCCGCGTCGCGCCAACCAGACCAGGTTTCCCACCTTCTAGCATGTTTTTTCTTGGGCCTATTCCGATTCTGTTTTCCTCGCATGGGCCTGATTCTGTGCCACGCGTCCCCTATAGCTTCCCGCATTTTTGTTCTGTGGGCCGGCCTGTTTCGGTTCAATGCGCGCCCTTGAAGGCTTCCCGAGCTTCAGTCTGCTTCCCGTTCCCGCCCTTACTCCGCTCTGTTTTCATGTCTCCAGAAAAAAAGAAAATATTTCTCATCCCCAGAAAAAAGAAAATATTATTGGGAGGTGTTTTGAAGAGTCGAACACGCAGCCTATGGTTTATGAGGATGTTTCTCATCCACTACTAGTCTACTACACCAGTAGATGATTTGGGTTAAACGTAAAATATTCGTGCCCTATCAAAGGATTAAAGTCGAAGGAAAAAATATT